AAGACGAAGAAGATGAAGTTGGGGGATCCGGTGATAGCGATGTGGAAGGACATTTGGAGGTGGAGAGACGGCTGGACCATGATTTAAGTAGGTTTGAAATGATCTGCCCAACTTCTGGTGGTGAAGAACAGAGCACCCTTTTGGAGAGTAGAGTGGATGATCAAGATTCTCACATAGCGCAGCTTGAGGAGGAGAATTTGACATTGAAGGAAAGGGTTTTCTTCATGGAGAGAGAATTGGAAGACCTGAGAAGAAGGGTCCAGTGCTTGGAAACTGAAGGATGGCGCTTGCATCCGGTGGACAATAACAACAAAGAGGAGACTGCAGCGTCCGAGAATGCCTTTGAGAATGGTGGAATCGGCCATGCGTGCTCCGAGACGAGCATTAATGACATTGGCAATGAATGAGATGACAACTCTCATCTACCAAGGTTCAATTTGGTGAATTTGTGAAATATATTGCATTAGTCTCCCTCTTGTTTTAGGATTTTTAGATTTTTACTTTCAGTTTCGTGTAGTTTAGTGGTTCTTTCTTTATCCTTTCCCTTGTGGGTCTGACTCAAATCAGAATCTGTTGACCTCCACAATGAGAGATAGATAGGTTTAAGTAGTGTGCAGAGCTAACCCTTATGTATGAAGTTTGTCCTATCTGTTCTTTTGTTCATATATCTTAATCTTTTGGTCTTTAGATGTTCCTTTCCTTGGAATCTGTTCTCTCCATTTCTCTTGATTTCATTTAAGAGTAATCTTAAAGCTCGACTTCTTTTTTCAAGTTGCAAATGAATTGTAGATTACAGGGATGTGTTTTGTGGTTCACAGATCTTTGTTTTCTAATGGAACACAGTTCATGAAGTGTTAGATTGCAGGGCCCATTGTTTTCAGAACATCGATGGAGCAGCAGCATTAGAAGAAAAGATTTGTAAAAGAAGTTTTCCTGGTGAGCCTTCACTCCAGGAAATTTTCGCAGTACGTACTTCATACGAATTCTCTTGTTCAACCAACGTTATATCATTCTTAAATGATGTTGACATAGTTGAATGTGTGAATGGTTGTTCTTGTTCTCAGTTTTGGGCCATACAAGCTTGTCTGCCGGAGCCTGGAATATGCCGCTCCGGCCAGCACCGTCGTTCTCCAATGTTCTTCAGAAAGCTTCCTCAGTTTTCTGAAGCCATGGGCATTGAAGCTGAAGTTCATTGACTATTTTATACTATGTATGATTATGAGAACAGGTTGTTTTCTTTTTCCCTTGATGGCCTTTTCCTCATTGAATAATTAATTTTTTTAATATATTATAATTTGTGAATTACAGCCTAAATGAGATAATTTATTTTAAACTTTTTTTGGGACGTTGGCGCATTTCTTTATAATGTTTGGCAAGTGTCTTTTCTGAAAGGGACAAATGTAGAGAAAAATAATCGAATTGTTTATCTTAAACTGTACAAGTTTATGAATTTCAGTTTTTGCCCTATCTACTCAAATCTTTACAAATAGTAACCAACCAATAATTGAGGTCAATTTTGGAAAACTTTAGGTTTTGTTCGATAATTATTTTGTTTTTTAGAATTATATTTGTTTTTGTATAATATCTAAGTTTTTTACATCTCTTGAAAACACAATTAAATTTTTAGTCAAATTTGAAAAATAAAAACAAGTTTTTGAAGACTATTTTTCAGCCTAGATATTGAAAAGTTTAATAAGAACGGTATAACAAAACAAATGAACTTGCTTTTCAGTTTCTATTTAAACGGACTTTAAAAAGTAGTTTAGTTTCCGAAAAAATATTTTTGTCTTTTGAACTTGCTTAAGAATTCAAATGAGACCGTAAAGATTGTCACAAGTTTAGAAATGAAAAAACAATTTGGGCCGGGCCGAGATTTGCGGGCTTAAGGAAGCCCAGCCCAAGTAGTGTTTCCGGGTCAAAAGTTTTGAGTTGATGGGTTCGCACGTGCAGCGGAGGGTACAGAAGGTGAAAGCGTGTTGTCTGTTATGTGTGGTGGCAGTGGGGCCCACACCGAGCGTCAAGTATATGGTGATGGGATGAGAGATGATGATCACAATGATGCAAAAAGTGTTATTTTCATGATTGCACCCGACATATGATATGATTGATCACACCAGATTATGCCCTTCAATCGCTGTTGATATTAAATTAACTAGTTTTTAAACTTTCAAATTTAGTTCATGATATTTAGTAGATAATAATTTAGTTTATTCTCTATGGTAAAATTTTTTGTTAAACCTTTTATATATCTAAATCAATAAACTAATGAAGGATCGAATGTGATGTGTTAATAAGTTACAAATTCTAAATCGTTATATAATAAATATTGATATTTAGTTTTGATGAAAACTTTTAAGGTAGTGACTGCATTTTTATAAAGTTTAAATTATATGGATTAAATTGTTACGTATTTAAATCTAGCGGTTAAATTGTTACAAATTTAAAAGTACAATTACTAACTGATTACAAATTTTTAGTAAAAATACATGGGCAAACTGAACTGTGATTAAAATTTTCACCTTCGATATGGTGTTTATAATCTCATTCCTCTTCATCTCATTCTCGTGGGCTCCACTCTTTAAAATGATTACTTTAGAAGATCTATTATTTTGCAATTAATTAATTTACACTTTTTATTATATTTTTTTTGTTTAATTACACTACTAATACATAACTCATCACTTTTATAATTTGATGTGACTTTTAAAACATTACAGATTTTTATTTTATTTCTGAATTATTTAATATTTTTATTATTAATTAATATAAATAAAAAAGTTATAAAATATAACTCATTATTATTCAATATTAGAAGAACGAAATTTAATAATATTTTATATTAATGATGGTTGTTCTAATAAAAACATTCTTTTAGGAATGTAATCTTATTTTCGTTATTTATTACTTTTTAATATTAAATAAATTATTGTGACGAAAAAATATTTACTATTACTAAACTAGTATCAAATAAATTAAAATTTATTATTATTTTAATTAAAAACTATTGGTACAATAATGCATTTGTATTTAGTCGAAAATAAAAGATGAGTGTACGAATAATCATCCTACCTTATTCATTTTTGATTTGAGACAATTTAATAAACAACATCAAATTAATTTCTAATTTTAATTTCATAACATTTTTTTAACATCAACCCTTTTTTTAAATATAACTATGAATTTGTATAAATAATTCTTTTAAAAATTAACATAAATAAAATATAAAAGTACAACCACTAAAAAAATAGTTTTGAAAGTAGATAAATTAAAATAATATTGAAACCTAGAATGGAATAAAAAGGGGGAAGTGGGAGAAATGAGAATGGAGTTTGTTTGATTGGACCGATGAAAACGCAATAATGAAGATTGACTCTTTGTCTGTCTTTTGCACGCGTTTCTGTTATTTTATTTTCACCCCCTCATTTTTCATTTATTCATCCTTCGTATTTTAATTTTTGTAAATATTGCAAAAACTCTCTATAAACCATCCTACCATCATACTCTCCAAATTTACCATTCAGGTATTTGATTAATATAGTTGCAATCATTTCATACCAAAGTGCTGATTTATGAAGTTAAAACTTTGAGGGTATAATTGTCATTTTCAATTGTCGCCACATCATCTTTAAGAATTTATCATTAGCATGTCATATAAGTGTTCAGCTTAGAGGGTTATTGATTTCTACACAAAATTTTAAATTTAATTAACACGTGTCTTACAAGTTTATAGATCTATTGTAAAGTAGCTTCCTTTTTCCTGCTTTAATTAGTTTTATTTTTCTAATTTATAAAGGATTCATGTATGTCTGAATTTTTTTTTAAGAAAAAAAAAGTGCCCAAATGCCTAAAAGGGGAGAGAATTCAAACTGACGACCTTTTAGTTTGAGGTATATGCCAATTACCGTTGAACTATATTCATTTCGGTAAAATCAAATCAAAGTTCCTAGTTATATAATTATATAAATGAGTAAGGAAACCCATTCAATAATTTCCATAGTTATTGAAGCATGTGCAATAAATTAACAATACATGGCAATAAATAAACCATTCCAACTAATCCTCCATTTTTTCTTTTATTTTTTAATTAAAAAATATATAGATTATGATTCCCGCCTTCGATCTTTTGGTCGAAAATATAATATATATGTAGAATTGGACCTAGACTCAAATTAACTTAAATTATCTATTGATACATTCTAAAATTAGTCATGATATAGAAAAATAATTACTCAATTATTCGTGTTACTGACTACTCAATTATTCGTGTTACTGACTAGTTATAATTTGTGTCTTAACCTACTATATATCTTTCAATAATTAAATATTTGATTAACTAAAAAATATTTTATTTAATTAAACATAATCTAAATAAACAGTATATTAAAATTTTATTTATCGCCCAAAATTACGAATCCGTAATATTATATTTTAAAAAGTACAATTAATTAATAATTTTATAACGAAAAGAGTAAAATTCTTTCCTAGAACAAAATAGTTGAATGTGAAAATATTAAAATAATTTTTTTTTTGAATTTTGATAACGTGGCATAGAAAATTCGAACTTTTTTGAGAGAGAAATATAAGTATATAATAAAATAACAGTAAAATTAAAAAAACAATTAAAACAAAAACAAAAGTTTCGAGGATAAAATTATTTTTATAATTTAGAATAAAAATTGATTAAAATATTTCGTATGTAAGTATGGAGAAGGGAAGGGGACCGTACTAATGATTGCTATTGGCTACGACTAGTCATATTTTTTATTATTTTTGTGATAATAATAATATTATAATTATTCTCTTCGAAAACAATTATAATTATTATTATTTGGTGGGGTATTTGAACTTTTTCGCTTTCTTCCAACGCTGCCCTGATTGCCTCGATCCAATGGCGGGCCCCAGCGATCTACTTTCTCTTCTTTGTGGGTCCCACTGCTTTCTTCCTTCTAATTGGTCCACGTCATCGCCTTCGTGTTTCCTTTTCCCTACACACCTTTCAATTTTGCACTTCTTCTTGTCTTAGATTTATAATAATACGTATATTTTATCATTATTAAATAAATATTATTTTTCGACCTTTGCTAATTTCAAATAGACTAAAATAAATGAGCATTTTAGTAAGGACTTTAGATGGGTGGAGAAAGAGTCGAGAGGTGACCGAGAATGAAAAATATTAAAAGGATTGAGAGAGATAAATGAAGTTTTTGAGAGGGAGAAACAATTATTTAAGAAAAGTGGAATTTGTAAATATGAATATAAAATATTTGGAAATTTAAAAGGGTCGTGGGATTTGAGTGAATTTTGGAGAGGGAGAGAAAGTGGCCGGGGGAGAAATGGGTAGAATTTGAGGGCATTTCAAGAGAGGAATGAATCACAAATTGTCTTCGAAATAATATAGAWWATAATTAAAATTAAAGGGTATAGATTTTCTCCTTATTTTACSGGTATAGATATAGATTGGTTAAATTACAATTTCAATCMTTTCATGTTGAGCTTTTAATGGATATTGGTGAAAATGTTTAGATTTCATTTTTATTGAAATATCATTGTCAAATTGTCGATTGAACTTGTTGGCTCTCCCACCTGGGGCAGAATAGACAAGTCCTCCCAAAATAAGAACATCAAAAAGAGAAATAGTTGTGGGCACTAACGACGATGAAGCTGGTAATCGAATTGACGCAACCGAATATTCATATTAGTTATATGTTGTTGATGTTTTTTACATTTTATCAAATTTTTGCGATACTATAAAAATGTCAATTCAMCCCTCATTTCGATTCAAATACATAGATATATATAGAAAATGTCAATGAAAACTTAATACGAATCTTCGTCTTATATAGATCTATACTCTTAACTATTTATAACTTTATTTAAT